GCGCTAAGTGCCGCCTTAGTGTCCTCTAGGACAGACCCATTCAATAATGAGGACGAGTTTAACTCGACATCGGGTCTAATGACCACTGATTCGGATAAATCTACTGCCTTGAGGCCTGGCTAAACGCGCCATTAAACATTTCGTCTGGCTCACACAGAGCGTCCAAAGATGGAAGGGTTTCAAGGCAAGCACTGCCATCAATCTGACTGGTCACTCCATTTACAAGCTTATGTAGTGTGTTACTAGTATCACTTAGTGACGGTGTGGACGCCTGGCGCTTTACAGTTGCCACCTAGCGTCCAAGTCGTCTCTTGAAAACCTTACACCTCTTAAAGGTGAAGACAGTGCTGTCCCCTTCATTACTATTAATAGTAGTACGCTCTATAAGAGAGTCGATGTCTTGACCGACATCCGGTGAAGGGTAACATAACTTGAACTCTTCACCAAGTGTAGTTCACGTGCCACTCACGTACAATACGCCGACCGAGCCCCAACCTGAACGGCGTTTCGCCAACAATGTCATTACCGTTATTAAGTGTGGTGCCATCACTGCCGCTTAAACCCGGCATATATTTACGTTCCACCTCACACACATCGAAGAAATCACATCCTTGATAATTCTTTCCCAGTCTGACCATGATTTCCGCATGCAATGACTCGTAATCACAACAAGTAACACTCAACGGAGTACGTGCCGATTTACCTATACTTAACGAGCTACGCTCGGAATCTATGTTTACAACATTGGAGTTAGACAACTCAGAAATTCCAATGTCCAGCACGTTGACATCTTCTGCCAATGGATCGCGCCAGAAGTGCCATTGTTGCCGAGCGAAGGTGGTTTCATAGCTATCCAAAACTTTGATAGGAACGTTGCGCGTGGCGCATAAGGTCTTAGACCTCAAATCAAAACAGGGCTCGTGGAGTTCAAGCCAAGCCATACCAAGCATGAGATTATATCTCGAGTCCAAATTACAGACAAGACAGCGTTCAATGCTGTCAAAGCCTAAAACTGTATACCTAAGGTCAATGGAACTTAAGGCACAGTAACGCGACTTTTAGTCGCTAAGCGAACCGTGATAGAAACATCCTCATGCGCTGTAAGCGCTTCAGCATAACAATGACTTCCCTCGAAGGTAACGACGTCGAGCATAATTGCAAGACGCTCCAGAGTCGATCAATATCGACCAAGGCCTCTCTCAAATACATTAATTTTCGCCTCGGCGACTAACAAGCCAGACTTGTATCCACGCTCCGTACCAATCAGTACGGAGTCAAAATCGACCAAGGCCTCTCTCAGACACATTAATTTTCGCCTCGGCGACTAACAAGCCAGACTTGTATCCACGCTCCGTACCAATCAGTACGGAGCACTTTAGGGCTAATACCTGTTTAGTTTACCTGATAAATGTGTACTAGAACCTAGTTCTTCCCTGCTAGGGCGCCCCGCGCCTACTTGGCGTCGGCATTTCCCCGTGCCATGCCAGAGTTCTGGCTCGGGATTGAGTGTTGGATTTTATCCTGACGCTGTTGTCGCAAAGGGCAACCAGGCCGCAAGTCTTTAGTGCTTCCGCACGTAAAACATCATCGTACGACGCGTTGCTGCTCAGCAGCTTGAAGTTTAACTTCACTTTCATCTTCAGCATAGCTGAGATCCATTGGTTCCTGTATGATAAATTCCGGACCAATTGTGAAGTTTGCTCTCGCCGGGCTAAGGTTGTATTCATTCCAGCCGAGACTGGACGACTTGAAGCTATGCTAAGCCGAAAGAGCAATTCTCATGCCATATTCAACCGTAGAGAGGTGAACCCGAAAAACTTCGGATCTTGCGATGCCAGTGCGGAGACCTTCCATGAAGATAGTCACACGAACCGCCTCAAGCAGAGGGTCAGACTGCATTGCAGCCACGAGAGATCACAACTCTCGGACATAGTCCGATAGCTCATTCTTACCCTGGCGGGTAGGTAAGAAGCATGAACGCACGCGGTAAGCCTGGTTAGGTGGTGAGAACACCTGTACCGATTGTGACTTTAGCGACTCCCATGTAGGAAACGCTATGTCAACAGACGTGCTACACGTCAAGGCCCATTCTCTAGCTCTTTCATCGAGCTTGGAGATAGCCAGCGAGACCTGTTGATGGTCAAGCTTGATCAGGCCTGAAGTCATGGCCATCTCAATCTCCCGGATCCAGAGGATGAGATTCTCACCCTCCTTACCGGAGCAGTTCTTAACTTACATTTCTAGTGGACGAGGCCTAGCCTCTTCGTCTGGTACGGACACATAACGTGTAGGCATAGTCGACGCTACATGGTCCTAAACATGCCCTAGAAGGGTCACTTAATACTGCATGAAGCCTTTAACACGCGCATTTAGCACCTAAGGACCTTGTGAGACAAGAACTCCACGTACTCTGGACACAAAGATGCGGTCAGCTTATCAAGCGCGACCTTTCGGGCCTCAGAGAGGGGAGTGGGTTGTCCATCTTCACAGAGGATCATTCTAAATCGAATCAGGCGTAGATTGGCTACAAGTGCTACCAAGTGTAGAGGAGCCACACAGCTCGTTAAGTCAGAGGAAGACTTAACGTTCAACGAGCAACTTAGTTCTAGAGAACTAGACCCAATAAGTCAACAAGCGTAAAACTTATGGTCCTTGTTCCAGGGGACAAAACGATTCAATGCATCGACAGCACTTAGTGCTCAAGAGTGATTAGCATCTCAAGGAGGTGTTTTTAACTCTTAGTGATCAGCGATCAACGACCAAAGACGCCTCGCAAGGCACGTGTCTTTAAAATCACAAAGGGAAACTGAAATTTGTTTACATTTACACCTATAGAATATCTTAATCCTACTATTACCTAATCTAGACACTTATGTCCTGAGTTAGCACAACTAATATCTCACCTATCTATTGGCTGACACTAGTCAGACCCTGTAAGCGGATAAGATATTATATTTCTTGCTCAGTGGGATATCATCCGTGTGTCTAAGACACAGGGTACCAAATACCCAACTACGTGTAACGCCTATACCATTATACTCTTGTCCGTCCTTCCGAGCCGAGTAATCGCCCTTTAGAAGTTCGGACCGTGTAGTGTGTAGCTCCAAAATCATACAAATACAACCGTCGTCTAAACGAGTATCAGTGATTGCTACATTATTCAACAGGACGTGTCTACTGCATTACCAGCTGAGGTACCGTCATCACTAGCATCAAGTATTAAATTCGAGTATTAGCCAAATGTGCGTGCAGCTCTCCTTGGGAAGCTGTACGCGGCGGATACTGACACATTTCTCGCTATCGCTCTACCAAAAAAAAGATAGAGTCATACAGAGTAGAATTTGAGTTAGTTGATTTGCGTGGCTGGGCTTATACGATATTGCAGACCATTCCCAAATTTTTACTGTTCAGCTTAAGCCAGTCTTTTTCCACTTCGGGGGCGTCCACTTCGGAGTGATCCTCTCCATAGGGGAGCCGAAGAGGTCTAAGGTCGGCCTCGAGCAAGCTGCGCTCGCAGTCTTAGGGGTGGACACAGTGGACCGACGGGTCGAGCGAGCGGCCGATGGGAGCCACCATCGCAGATGGATGAGCTCCTCGAGGAGATACTACGGCTTGTTGGCGTTCCCCACGCCTTGCGGTGTTAAATTGATTGAAGGAAGGAACTAAAAGCAGATGTGAGCCCTTGAGTGTGTTTCACATTTGAATTAAGATTGTACAAACATGATGCACCTTGGCTACTCCTGTTGGTGCATCGCTAACTACTCCTTACTGCAAGAACAACCGACACTATCATCACACGGGCCCTGTCGCCTTCCAACTGTCGGTTTGGCCCCGTCGCCGTTTACCCAATATTCCAACGGTCGTCTTGGCTCATACAACCGACTGTCGTCTTCAACATCCATCTTGCAACTCGAAGTTCAACACGCCCTCCTCGACGCGCAATAGCTTTCTCTTCGGAGTCGAATAAGACAGTGTCGCCGGTCCATGCTGAAGGCCATTCCTAGTGAATGACTTATCCGCATCCACTAGCCCAATGAATTAACTTGAGTGCTGAATTCGGTCTCACTTGTCGCCTTCGTGAGAAGATCCGCTGCATTGTCTTCGGTGTTGACCTTGTAAAGTTTGATCTTGTTCTTGTTAACTTGCTCGCGTGCGTAGTGCCAACGCAGTTTAATGTGGCGAGTACGTCGGCTGAATGTCGGGTCCAGCGCCAGCGTCATTGCGCTCGAGTTATCGACTCCAATGTCCACGTCAAAGCTCTTGTGTGTCGTATACGACGTTTTCTCCACTATGTTGCCAAGCGAAGCTGCGAAGACCAAGAAGCTTATGATCAACTCCAGCTCAGGGCAAAGCGCTACATCTTCACAAGTTTGTCACGTGACCTGTTGCATCAGTTGCGTGAACACAAGACAGCACCAGAACTGTGGAAAGCCTCGGTGACTATCGATGAAGACAAGTCGGACCCCACTGTTCGTGGACACCTTGTCTGGCAGCTAATTCATGAGATTTTAAACACAAAGCTGGAGGAAGATGGGAACGTAAACGCGCACCTGTCGCGCATGTTTTACCTCCGCACGGAATTAGCTGATCTCCAGTATATCATGAATGAACTCGATGTGCAAGAAGCTTTGCTGGCAAGTCTACCTACAATGACGCAGTTCAACTAACTACGACAGACTGTGCGGTGTGCAAGTGACTCAGCAGCAAACAGTCCAGAAAAAATTTCGCGAGCTGATTCGCACAACCGCCGCTCTTCATGAGAAGACCACAAGCGGTTTTGGTATTGGTGCCCTAATGAGCGGGAGGCGTAAAGACGTGGATCGTCAGCGCGACAAGATGCCCCGACGGATCATAAACAGCAAAGGATCCAATGCAAATGTCCATCGCTACAAGGGAAACTTCAAGGTGAAGGACTACAAGAAGAGGTGTTACACGTGCGGCAGTATTGAGCACCTAAAGAGGGATTGTCCAGATCGTAAAAACTCGGCGAAGGTTCAAAAATGGTTGCAACAAAAGGTGTCGCTTTTCGGGAAGGCAAACGGAACATGGCAACGAACCTCACGCACTGTTACGTGCTTAAGGTATTTGAAAAAGATCAAGACGTAGGGACGCTGAAATTAAATCACGTAGACAAACCGCAACAAGACAATGACCCGCTTGCCGATAATGTGGGGTTGCAGGAGTGGTACACTGCATCCAATAAACATGTGGTAGGAGACAAGCAGTACTTTATTCTCAATCGGGAGCTCTCTCGCGATAAAGTAATCGCGCGTGGAGTTGCATCCAGCTTTCAGGAGCAACCAGTCGGAGTTGGAACGATCTTAATTGAGAGGTCTGATGCTGGAAAGAAAGTACTTACGGTTGTTGAAGACGTATTACTCGTTCCTGGCGCAAGAAATCCGCTGTTGTCGATGGGGCATGCGCTTGACGATGGATTTAAACTTGAATGGAACTCCAATGCGCACCGATTTTACCATAGTGAAAAATGATGAAAAGGTGGCACTAGCCGACAGAGTCGGATCAGTATGGGTATTCGAGGGACAAGTTGCATTAGGTAAACAGACCAAGCCACATTCAAAAACGCGCGTGATAAACTTTACGGCTCGAGATGGTGTTGAAGATGCGCAATTATGACACAAGCGAGTAGGCCACATATGCCCTCAGTACATCAAGTTGATGGTTGACCGAAAGCTTGTTGACAGAAAGATGCTATCCGGACGTGATGTAAGAGATTGCGAGACGTGTCACTTGGCAAAGCAAGTACGGAAGACGTTTTAGAAGAAGCTTGATTGACGCACTGTGAAGCCAAATCAGCTTGTATAGGCAGATTTGTTGGTGCCAGGCGTAAATAGCGACACTTAAATTGGTGCAGTTTTGGTGATCATGGATGCTTACAGAAAGTTCGTTACAACGTCCATGCCGCAAACAAAAGCAGCAAATGCAGTAGCCGCAGCGCTAAAAACAATGCACTGCTTGGGTTGAACGACAAACTCGTCGCTACGCAGCCGAATAAAGTGAACGAGCGCAAATTGCTTATCCTGTTCGACAGTTGCTGACGGATAAAGGTGGAGAATTTGCTAGTACCGAGTTTACACTGTGGCTGAAATGTCGGGGCATCGAGAATGTACAGGTTGGACCTTCCAGCTCGCAGCAAAACCCCTGCGAAAGTGTGCACAGAACGCTAATGGAGATGATGCGTGTAATGTTGGAGCATTCAGGAATGCCTCAGATTTTTGGACGATGCATTTCATTACTCGTTTAAAATTGGGAACCGGACATTTGATCGAGGATGTAACAGCACACTTTACGAAAAGATGTTTGGCATGCGGCCAGACATTCATCGTCTTCGCACGTTTGGATCTTTGTCGTATGCTCGCGTTAGAGCCGACGCACGGGGTCGAAAGCTTAATCGTCACGCCAAGATCGAATATGTTCTGGGATGCGCGGACGATGTGTTGGATTGCAAGCTCTGCTTAACCGATGATCGTACGCGAAAATTTGTACCAGATATTCGCGTAAATAAGCACGTTCTTTATCGCGACCGCCCCACCACCACGGCCACACTCTCGGACGCCAACAGCGATGTAAATGCAAGTATCGAGGAGGGCGGTTATGTTGCAGAATCGAAGCCACGGACAGCAATATTATAGATGCCGAACTTAATGTCGAGAAAAGCATAATTGACGACGAAGACAGCTTAACCGATGCACAAGACGCGGATGAACAAGACAGCGTTTGGACACGGCCGGTCGTTTATCGTGGCGCAGTTGACTCTGTCCATCCAAATGTGGATGACTTCGGGGCTGGTGCATCAGAATGTAGGATCAGTAACATGGCTGAACCTGATGGCGACTTGATGAAAGAAGATGACACTTGCTTAAGTGGCCAAATCGAGGAGATTTTACAAGGTGGTATGAGCCATACCAGCTCACACACCACTTCAATTGACGGCGAACAAGGCTCGGTTGAGTATGATGCAGAAATTGACACAGAAAATGTTGATAGCGCGGCAGAACTAGCAGTTCAAGTGGAGCCTACGAAACGGAAGCGTGCACAGCTGTTGTTTACAGGAAGTATCACTGGTGACGTGCAAGTAAAGAAGAGGCGCGAGAACTTGCGGAGTACGAGTCAGCGTCGACTGCCAGCGCGTTTTAACGATTTCATCGTTCATGCAACAGTAAGTACCTGCAGTGACGGATACAAAGGACTATTAAAAGGTAATGTCAAGATCCCGAAATCATTCGGAAGCACTGCAATGTGAATATTCACGCAAGTGGTGTGACGCAGAGTTACAGGAGCTCGAAGAACTGAAGACTAAAGGAGTGCTCGAGAAAATTTCGCTAAAGGATGTGCCTCCTGCGACAAACATGTTGACGAAGATGTGGGTTGATGCAGTAAAAACAAATGAGCAAGAAGAAGTGATTCGCTTAAAAGCACGGTTATTTGCTCGCGGTGACAAGCAGCGCGAATATGTTGATTTTATTAAAACATTCGCACCGGCTGCTCGCATGCGTCATTTCGGTTATCTGTGGCATTTTCAGCCTTATTGTGATTTGAGATCTACAGCTATGATGTACAGCCTGTGATGCAATACAGCATGCCTTAATGCCATTTACAAATTCCACAGTACGTTAATCGTATCCAAGGACATTTCAATGAAAATAACGAGGCATTTGAAGTCAAATAAGCACTGTACGGCTTGCGGCAGGCTGGACGAGAGTGAAATTCCGAAATTGACAGCTTTCTGCAGGCGCACGATTTTATACATGGACACACAGAGTCGTGTTTATACGAACGGTGGCAGAAAGGAGTGGTATGCCTTGCGTCGATTTACGTCGACAATCTCTTGGCAGCTACTAAGGAAGTCGAGCAAAAGAACGAACAATTTTCACTTGCTGGAGGCGCAGTACGGAATTAAGGATTACGGGCGTGCTTCTCAGTATCTAGGTGTTGAAATCGTTCATAGTGATGCGAGCTTCACTATACGACAAACTCAGTATATACGCGAAGTGCTCGAGCGATTTGGATTCCTGAACGCACGCAGAGTAGGAAATCCAGTGGACTGTACCACACGACTCGTGCATGAGGACGGAAAGCGAAGTGATGAAGTGGTGTCATTTCCTTATCGAGAGGCAGTTGGTTCACTTATGTACCTAGCTACGTCGACTCGACCAGATATAACGTTTGCAGTCGGTTTGCATAGTCAGTTTGTCAATCAACCGAGCAACAAGCATGTTGGAGCGGTGAAGCGGGTATTGCGCTATCTATCCAGCACTTTGAATCACGAATTAACCTCCTAGAGACAACATGGCTATACAAGCCAAATCGTCATTGACGGATTTAGCGACAGCGATTGGGGAAGTGATCCCGACACGCGGCGCAGTGTGACTGGTTTAGTATTTAATCTTGCGGGTGGTGCGGTTTTATGGCTTTCTCGATTGCAAAGTGTCGTTGGCTTAAGCACGGCTGAAGCAAAATATATTGCAAATGTGTGGCAGCTATGGCAGTTTTACAAGCTAATTATGCGAAACGTCTTCGAGTAGCAGAAGATGAGTAATATGACAGGTGCGCGTTTACGTTCCCATCTTCCTCCAGCTTTGTGTTTAAAAGCTCATGAATTAGCTGCCGGACACGGTGTCCACGAACAGTGGGGTCCGGCTTGTCTTCATAGATAGTCACCAAGGTTTTCCACAGTTCTGGTGCTGTCTTGTGTTCACGCAACTGATGCAACAGGTCACGTGACAAATTGTGAAGATGTTGCGCTTTGCCCTGAGCTGGAGTTGATCATATGCTTCTTGGCCTTCTGCCGTCATAAGCTTTGTCTTGTCGTACCGCTCATCTATCATATCACTCATCTTCTGTTCCTCGAAGACATTTCGCATGATTAGCTTATAAAACTGTCATTTAGATTTTTTGAAATACCACTCTTATTAAAAAGAAGACCTCCAGAAAAATTATAAAAAACCTGAACCTTATACTCGTTTACTTTTGCTTTACCATTTCCTTCGATGAATTTCCCGTGTACTTCGGGCTCATAAACCTGTTAAATTGATTGAATAAAGGAAATTAAAGCAGATGTGAGCCCTTGAGTGCGTTTCACATTTGAATTAAGATTGTACAAACATGATGCACCTTGGCTACTCCTGTTGGTGCATCACTAACTACTCCCTACTACAAGAACAACCGACACTATCATCACACGGGCCCTGTCGCCTTCCAACTGTCGGTTTGGCCCCGTCGCCGTTTACCCAATGTTCCAACGGTCGTCTTGGCTCATACAACCGACTGTCGTCTTCAACATCCAACTTGCATCCCGAAGTTCAACATGCGGTCACTCCGGTCATCCTACTCCACGGGGAGATATCACGAAGTGTTGGCGTTCCCCACGCCTTGCTGTCACTTCGGTGGCTACACTCTACGTCGATGGGTTGCGCAAGCGTCATACAGAGGCCCACCATCGCAGATGGACCGGCTTCTAAAGGTTTTTTTAGCCAGGTGGTTAGCTTCCGTATCCTTCGGCGCTAACATCTTGGCTTAGGCTGTACCGGAGGTAATGCACATAGCTAAATTCTGGCGCAGGAGTTTTCAGACATCTTGCTAATGTTAACGTGTGAATGGGCGATCGTGAAACTCCTCCACGATATTGCAGACTGTATTTTACATTGCAATCCTAGCCAGCAACTTTCTCGTCGATCCTCTTCATTAGCTTAAACGTTTAGAGCCAGAATCGTCGACATGAAAACGAGCCGGGTTGGACCGTGCAATCGCTTCACGTCAGTATCGATACAGAGAAGTTTTGACGTGTCTCTTGTGACACGCCATTCCATCAAACAACGGCTCTCCTGGGGTGGGCACAACAATGAGTCATTATTCGCCTTGTCGCATGGACTGAACATGCCCTTAGAAGACCAGTGGCACTTGTCCGAAAAATTGGCCACTCCATAAATTGTTAGTGTTCGTATAGTCCTTCTTGAGCGATGACGGCACGTCACTATCGTCAAAGCTCAAGATTGTCATGTGCCTTTCGATATAATGCCATTCTGCTGAACCGAGTGTATCATAAAAAGAGCTAGTACTAGCATCTAGCCATCATTTTCTAAAAATACAGGCGTTACAACAGCCGACATGTCAGCTGGATTAGTTCTTGGTTGATTAACCTCAGTCAGCTCACTATGACGTCTCTACCACATCGCCAGACGAGGTGCTGTTGTCGAGTGCAAAGTATTGAGGTTGGACAACAGCTATAAGCGCCGTGCAGTTCTCCATTAAAAGCTGTGCGCGGCGGACACAGACACATTCCTCGCTAGCTCTACAAAAAAGCAAAAGATTGTTGTCATGCAGAGTAGTGTTTAAATCAGTTTGACGATCGTGCGAACCTGAAAATTGCCTCTGCATGGCACTGCCGATCGCGTATGTGAGTTTAACGAACGACAACCCACGCGTTATGCGACGGAATGATGCCAACAACTTGATGTTCGCAAAAAAATGGAGCCAGCAGCTGTTGTGATCAAGGGCCGGGACACTTGACGAGTGTAATGGTAGGAGCTGGCTTTGCGGTCGCCACGACTACACGCATGGATTTGCAACACTGGATGTATCGATCGCTACAACGACATCGGAATTTGTGCTGTGTAAACCACAACAGGCAGCTCCTGACGACTCGACAGCACGGTCAAACGCTTCGAGTTTCCTCATTCCAACAATTGCCAAGTCACTCGCACCACGACCACCCACCTGCAACTACCACCCACCTGCAACTACCACCACCATGCGCTTCTGCTACTTCGTTTTCCTGCCTTCTGTCGCTTTGGCCATCATGGCCACCAAGTCATCGAAAACGTCCCACTCGATCGTCCACGTGGTCTCCCTCCGTGACGTTGCCAACCATCGTAACGATGCTCTGGTCAATCGGGCGTTGAGGGCGCTGGTGGCTCTCGATGACGATGAAGAAAGATGGCCGTTTTCGACTTCGCGTACCCAAGCGTTAGTTGAGTTAATCGAAAGCCATGGATCTTTTTTCAATGATAGGCACATGATGGAGGCCGCCATACAAACCTGGTACAAACTGGTTGAAAAAGATCATGTGATGGCCAAGTTGGGAAAACATTATTCTGCCGCGCCAGGACCTGTCCATGACACCGACGGTGAAGCTCTCGCCTATAAGCTAGTAACAACCTATACGGACCGCGGAGTCGCTCGAGCGATTCGACATACGAGAGCTGATACGAGAGCTGATGGGACGCTTTCTCCAGAGGCAAACCGCGTGATCCAGTTGCAGGATATAATGGCAAACCATTGGCGAGAGCGGGGACTCACCATAAACGACGTTCTTTCGAATTTTGACACTAAAGACGACGCTGACTTTTTCGCATCCACGGCCTTCACTTTTTTTGAAAGGTATGTCAAAGACCAGGGAAACGCAAATCAAGCCATATTCGCGTACTTTAATTCCAGTCCCAGCAGATACTTTTCCGCTGTCCTGGACGCGATGGCAAAGTCTGGTGCTAATCGTTCAGCGATTGACGAAAGCAAAAAGTGGCTGCTTCGATTTTGTGCGAAGGAAGGTGCCACTCTTGATACGTTTGAAAACTCGCTGACCTTTTTCCAGACTGGAGGGTATGCGCCGAATGAGGATTCGAAATTCAAGGAACTCGTACCCCGTCAGATCAAGCAACTCGTTGATGATTTTAAGAAGATCTTGCCTACTGAATGAGTGTGGTTTTGCTTCTCGTATCATCGTTAGGCGCGTGGGTGAGTAGCATGGTCTAACTAACACTCAGGTTAAGGAGCTGATGCATTTTGATATATGCAATCAGGTGCAATAAAGGTTGTGGTTACGTTAGTAGGCAGAGCAGGTAGAGTATTTGAACATAACGCTACACGAGCGAACTTAATATGGACCTCAGCGTCTTTTTCTGCGATATTTCTCTTACCCTTGCTATGTCTTGGGAGCGATATATCTATAGTCGGTTTGGCAGGCGCTTTTAACTTTAATTTGACATCTCTCGCGCAGCTCGACTTGTTTCGTACCAAAGCAATCTATCTGTCACATAGGTATTGTGACATTTTCTTGCGGATAGTCTGTAAGACAGGGAAGCAAGCTCTAAATCTCACGTTATTGTTGTGTGCGAACTTAACCTGTTGATGTGGTTGATGTGCTAAGGAAAAGAATCTAAGAAGGGGAAGACAAAGATTTAGCCTGCCCGGCAACGCCATCAACAAAATAGTGCGGCCGACGTCATACAGCTGATTTGTACAAGA